TTGACCACGAACATGAAGAGCTGATATAGGTGGATGATGACTAACTTGTTCAGCAATATAATGAAATGGTGATTTTCCTTCCATTTTTAATTCATATGTTTCACCTAATAATGGATTAAATGGTTTTGACATTCGTTCAATATGTGTTGATAAAGTTGAAACAATAAAAGCCGTTAATAAATGAAATCTTTCAATAGATTGTTCAGCTAATGCAGCTTGATCAAGTAAACATGAATATTCTAAACATTCAGCTAAACGTTGAAGAAAACTAAGAGGTTCTAAGAAAATAAAAATTAAATAAATAAAAAAGAAATTATTAATAAATTATTACCGTTCCAAATCACCGGTATAGAAAATTTTGTTAGATCTTTTCCAATAGCTTGTTTAATCACAGAAAATATTGAATAAGATGAACGATCAAGCATTGGAGCCGGTAATGTTCGACGTGATGTTACTAAATCAACAGACATTTATAATAATCTAAAATTAATTATCACACTATGCATTTTGTCTATAAGACCAAAAAACAAAAAGCTTTAATAAAAAAAAAAAAAAAAAACATGAGATTAAAATCTATATAAAATAAATTATGTTACAAATCTTGGTAAACACATTTTTCCGGCAATTATTGCTGAAACTACAGTTAACCATGTTGCACCAATAAATGCAATATAACTTGAACCTATTCGATAATCAGTTGGTAATTGAAATGGTGAACCACCAATGATTTCAGAATCGAATCCCATCGGAAAAAGAACAGTTGAAAGACATAAAAATATCACTATTAGACAAAAACAAAAAACGATCATTAAAAATATTTTTTCATTTTCAAGCTAAAAAAAAAATTAATATTAAATATTTACTAGCAACAAATCCAGTTAATCGACCATATTCAACAGTTGGTGTTTGTCCATATTGTGATGCAAGAAATAAAAGAATAGTTAATATAAGAAGGCCAATAGCACCAATAGCAAGCACAAATGATAGAATCCATACTGAACGAATATGATGTGGTATAAAACATTTTTGATCATGAGAAGTTAATGATGATAAAATACATATCTCAATTAGACCAAGTGATGTTTCATCTAAAATTAGTTTAATTAAAAATGTTTTGTTAAAAGAACAAAAAAAAAAAAAAAATTTATAATAGTTCAAGTGAATCCATACAAATGACACTGAAGATCAATAGCACGTGGAAGCAAAATTCCGGGACCGGAATGTCTACGGCTTTGTTTTGTGACTTCCAGTTAACTTCCGACAGGAAACAACGAGAAATTACTGAAAAATCTAACGACATTTCAGAACGGATATAATGATTTTCACGCATTCTTTCAATCAACACCAAGAAAAATCTACTTGTTTCCAGAGATCGAAATCATCGACCATAATGAAACTGTTCCGTCAATGATTCTCTCGTATTGAATTTCAATGACTTGTCGATAAAAATTCAATCGAATTTTTGTTTGTATCCGATTGAAAAGATACATTTTTTAACTAGTCTAATCATTTAGATGAATGGAAAATGTTAAGAACTTGAAAATGAAATTCTGATACAGACACTCATCATAATAATTAGTCTGATTATATATGATATCTTTAATCGTAGTAGATTCTGTTTATATTAGTTCGACTTGCTTATAAAATATCCAAATTTTTGTTATCAATAATAAACTAAGATTGTCTAATTATATCTTGTCTACATGTCAATATAATTATTTAAAAACTTATATTGTACTTATCTGATCTTATCAATAGTTCACTTTGTCTATAGGATATAACATTTCAAAGTCTAACATGTGGCTTGTTTCTCCTTTGATCAAGCATATAAAAACAAGAAAATGTACCTGCTACATATTTTTTCTCTTATGCTTTACTGAAAGATGGCATAGTTACTTCTAAGAAATGTTAATAAAACATTCATTGCACTTTATATATTTGTCAATAAGCAACTTGCTGTTTATTTACACAAGAACCATTTTATCATCGAATTAGAAAGTATTTTGTCGTTCTAGATAATGTTCTACTCATCAAATGTTCGAAGAATTGATGAAAATATTTTTCTTTGTTTAAAAATATGTAAAAGAATTATTTCTATTTCCATATTCTATTCATGAGATTTTTGCATGAAATGTTCTAAATACCTAAGTGGACTTTTTGTTGCAGTTATTTCAATAATCAACTATTGCACTTATCTTATGTCATATAATGGACAATATACTTATCTATTATGTTCGAACTTTGTTAAAATATATTTCTCTCAGTCAAAGAATCATAAGGTACATGATAAGAACGAACATTAATGCTTTTTTTTTTTTTACGTATATGAATAATATTATAAAGGTAAAAGAAGTACAATTTAACTTTCATTTTAAGTATTTATAAGAAAAATATCAAAAAATTAGATAAATGCGCATATTTATTGTTTACCTTGATTGACAGATAAAATCCATCTTGGTCTTGAAATACTAATGAGAACAAGTAGAGCAGCTGTAGCAAATAAAGCTGTTGAAAGTAATACAAGTCGATCTAATGTGACCATATTTTACTTAAACATCTTTCTTAACAACAGAATAGACAATGATATTTTCTTTTTCAGCTCAGTATGGTACGATGATAAGAATATTATTTCATTGGTTCCTAATTTTTATCCTATAGAAAAAAAATGTGTTAACCTCTATAAATTTGTTTGTTTTATAAGATAATAGTTTACTACTGACTCATTATTATCATCTTGTTGTTGAATTTTTTAATGAATGTAGATAAATAAAATTTATTGAATGAAAAATTAAGGTCAATTGAAATGGAAGATAGTCAGAGCTCTAATCTTTCGTAAACGACATGGTTTTCAATTTGGTAGCTCACTTTCTTTTTCGGCTAAAAACTTTTTAATGATTTTCGTACATATAGTTTTTTTTCAGAAAAAGTGATTAAAGTCAAAGTCATTCCGTCGATAGGATCTGATGGTATTAAATTATCTAGTTTTGTTTTTTTGTGATTATTAGGCAATCGTATTAGTATAAATTATTGGTTCTATTTATTTATTTTTTTAAAATTGATAATTCAATAATTTTCAATTAATTGTATGAGACAAATGGACTAGTTGGGGAGGATCAAAAATAATGCCTAATGTTCAGATGTAAATTCCATCGAATTCTTTTTTTGATGGTAATATTTTTCTCTATTTTATGTTTGTTTTGATTGCACAATTTGGAATTCTTTGTGGATTTTCATTCTCTATATTTAATGTTATTTTGTTTGACAGAGCATGTCAACCTATAGGGCATGAACAAGTCTCGTTTTTGAATGAAATTTTGTTATTATTATATAAAAGAGTACTTTTATGATTAGAGTACCATTGTTTGAAAAATTACACTTGTCTTCTCTGACTATGTAAGAATTTAACAAAGAAAGATCTCATGCCGTCATCCTGACATTCTTTTTCAAACAAAACAAATTAAGTATATAGAATGAAGATCCATAGAGAATTTTAAGTTGCCAAATGAGTTATTTTTGACTTTTGTTTGTCAAAAGCTTCATACGATTTGAATGCTCTTGATCCGGAATCGATTTATGAGTAGGCGTGTTGGCCTTAATTGACATATTCTAATTAGTTTGTTTTTTTTTTGTATTGTATATTCATTAGAAATAGAAATCTTTTTTTGTTTTTTTATTGTAGATTGTATCGAATTTATTATTCAATAATAAATGAGTTTTTCGCCACGTAAGTATTTACTACAATGTTGAATTATTCAATCTAATAATATAGATTATTTATTAATATGATATTCAGATTTAGGTTGAATCCTATCTAAATGAATCGATCGTTATCATGTTTCTTTTTTTTTATTATGAAAGAAAAAAACTGCTGGGTTTTTGAATGATATGTTCACTTAAATTTTCAATTGAACTAATAAGAGGAAATAATAATAGAAAAAAAAACGGAAAATATTTATATTACTAGGGTATTGCATCGAATCGGGTTAATATAACCAGTGACGTATCCAGGATTTTTTAGTATGCTGAATCTTGACTTTTGAGCATGGGACCCAAATGAAACTCATAGAGGGTGATGTTGAGTCCAAATGATGGAATTTTATCAAAGAAAATTTGGACTG